TCGACCACGCCAGTGTGTGAGATGGCCAGAACCTCAACGTGAATCCATGGGAGCCGACTTTGGTCCGTGAATGCTTGAAGAAGACTGTTCGTTGAAGGCTGCATGAAGTTATGTGCGAGAGCTGTTTACTAGGATACCGACAGGACATTCTTGTATGTAAGTGTGAATACGTCAATAAACTCATGTCTCGTAAGCTCTCATCGGTGTCGGCTTGTGCCAGTTGTGTAACGTGGAGCGTGTGAGAAGATCTTCCACCACACACGCATGAACACTACCTAGACAACGAGAAGAAACACACACCACTTATTACATATACCCTCATCAACTTTTGGAGATTTTTCTATCCGTGAGCTCTCAGAGTTTCTTAGCAGCAATGAAGTTGAAAATGAGGATGATATAATTACTGATGCTGTTCAGCTGGAGGTAAATTTTGTTTAAAAATATAAACCCAAATGTCTGTGAAATAATGGTTTGCTAAGGATTCAGAAGAGTCACTGGTGTATTTTGCTGGATTTGTCTCTAGTAAGCTAAACAATAAAAATTCAGTGTGCTGCGTGCAAGGTTTTACTGCAGATGGACAGGTCATTAGCATATGCTATTGACTCGGGTGCCATGTCCACAGACTACATACATCTGCTTGACGTGGAGGTTTGAAATACTCTTTAAAGTTTAAATTTTTATTGACTTTTGTAGCATTTGCAGCTATGCAGAAGCGTTAATCAGCTTAGATGTAAAATACATTTCTAGCCCTAAAACATATCCCCCGCCTCCCCCCCTCCCCTTCCCCAAAAAATTATTGCTCATGCATATTGTTTCATGCAGTTGATACGTATATTTCAGTGATGAAATAAGTTGTGTCTGTGGTGTGAGTTGTTCTAAAGTAAACAATGTTTCCATAGCGCTGTTACCTCAAGCAATTTTTTTTTTATAACTAAAGAAAAGTAAAAAACAATACATCCTTGCTAGATAAATCATCCAAGAAAAGAAAACTGGCTAATTTCACTCACTAATTTGCACAGCATTGTGTGACGACTTTTGGACATACTGGAGCTAAAATGCAAGTAGTTTTTTCTTCTTCTTCTTCGCGTTCATCAGCTGTACACTTGGCGGAAAGTTCTGGCTGCTCGTCCACTACTGAACCGCAGTCCTGCTCCAGAACCTGAGTTTTGCGTGTGCATCAGTTTTACCAACCTCATTCTCTTGAATACAGACTGTTGGTTCCTTGCCCCTCCGGCAGATGCACTCCGACTTCAAAGGAAGCTCCCCAGTTAGTCGACTCTTACGACATGCTTTTGGGGAGGCAGTGGGTCTATTCTTGATTTCCCCATAATGGGGCCCCGGAACCCACACTGGGAACAAGTAGTTTCTGTTGTACTTTCTGTTTCTTTGTTGCCATATTGTGTACACTAATATACATGTTTTATTCTCGAGCTTACTCCTACAATTTTGGTGAGGAGTACTCAGGGGACGGACGACAACACACCGAAGAAACAGGAATGTCAGAGTTAACACGGAACGTATTGTTAGCCCTGGGTGGTGACGTCACGTCAAACTGAAGACGTCAGCACTTACCCCTTTTATTGGGAGAAAGCCTTGGTAAAGCTTATATGTAAAACTGATTGGGACTTGCCTAATTATGTCTTATTGATTGTCTTAGACATCAGCTGCTGCTACTCTGCATGTTCCTTTGTTCTATGCTTGTACAGATCTTGCAAGTAAATTGCTGTGTGAATGATACAGGTTACTAAGAAGCACCGTACTGCATGGTCGAGCCAGCTTGCTGTAAAAGATTAACATATGTAAGTACACTAAAGTACAAGTTATTTGCATATCCCCAACAGCAGTGTTCATTAACTTTATTTTTAACACCCAGAATATAAATGTTTTAGGTGGCTAAATTGGGTTTCCGCAATTCATGCCTGACTGATTTCACTCGTATCCTTGAGCTCTGAATCCTACAGACAGTAATCATGGAAGAGAAAAACTACGCTTCTTATTCTACCCCGATACATGATTAGGCAGAAATTGTTTATAGCCAGACTGGACATTCCCCCCTCCCTTTTTCCACCATCTAGTGGGTTACGGCCCACAAGTTGAGAAACACTGCTCTATAGGACGCTGCAGAGCCAACCCCAACATTTGTTGACTCTTTGTGGTTTTACTGGATAATTCTACGCTCTGTAATTTACTACTTCTTCTCACTGCACGGTCGTCACTCCGAGCAAAGCGGTCTACTGCCAAATCGTCTGCAACTGATTCATACGGGGTATGCCGGAATGACGAAACGCGTACTGAACTCTTAAGTCTCATAGACGATATCCACTAACACAGTAGACCTTTTCACGCCATTTCGCAATGGGTATGTTGTGCTATACACATATATTTGTGATAAGTAATACAATCCTCGAGATCGTAGACAGCCACCAAATGATTAAAATAACTACATTGTAGTCTTCTGATTCCCGGGACCCTCAGTGGTGTAGCTGCTAGACACTCGTTTGCGGGTTATAGGCTCGAATCGGAACTCGAATCCCAGGTCAGCACGCCTTAAATAGGTAGCAGGTGAAGTCATGGGAAGTAAAAGCGACCGCTGTGATGTTAAGCACATCACCCACCGGGTTCCAGTTGGTATATAAATTACATGCCTAGCCCTATGCGCCCAATACACGTGAAGTCGCGGGGGAAATGTATTTTACTACCGATGCCCTTCTGGCGGTTGTTAACGGAAACGCAGTCTTGGAGACAAGCAGTCACCTCCGCGCCACTATTTGCTGTTAGCGATAACATCATGGAGACAAGCACTCACCCCTGCGGTACTATCTGCTGTCAGCGATAGAATCATGGAGACAAGTACTCACCCCTGCGGTACTATCTGCTGTCAGCGATAGAATCATGGAGACAAGCATTCACCCCCGCGGTACTATCTGCTGTAAGCGATAGAATCATGGAGACAAGCACTCACCCCTGCGGTACTATCTGCTGTCAGCGATAGAATCATGGAGACAAGCACTCACCCCCTCGGTACTATCTGCTGTCAGCGATAGAATCATGGAGACAAGCACTCACCCCTGCGCAACTATCTGCTGTCAGCGATAGAATCATGGAGACAAGCACTTACCCCTGCGCAACTATCTGCTGTCAGCGATAGAATCATGGAGACAAGCATTCACCCCTGCGGTACTATCTGCTGTCAGCGATAGAATCATGGAGACAAGCACTCACCCCCGCGGTACTATCTGCTGTTATCGATAGAATCATGGAGACAAGCACTCACCCCTGCGGTACTATCTGCTGTTAGCGATAGAATCATGGTGACAAGCACTCACCCCTGAGGTACTATCTGCTGTCAGCGATAGAATCATGGAGACAAGCACTCACCCCTGCGGTACTATCTGCTGTTAGCGATAGAATCATAGAGACAAGCATTCACCCCTGCGGTACTATCTGCTGTCAGCGATAGAATCATGGAGACAAGCACTCACCC